ATATTTATGTTTGTGGTTGTAATGTGACAAAATATGGAAAAGTTCAAGGGATATGAATACTTTTGCAAACCACTGTAACTCTAAATTGTCCCTAGGTGTGAGTGAGAGAGTGAATGGTTGTTTGTCTCGTTTGTCTCTATGTGTGGCCCTGTGATGGACTTGCGACCTGTCCAGGGTGTACCCTGCCCCTCGCACTGTGACTGCTGGAAATGGGCACCAGTGACCCACGCGACCCTGAAAAGGAAGAAGCGTGTACAGAAAATGGATGGATGGATGGATGGATAAAACTAATCTAGTCCTCTGTGATGAAAAACCAGATGTTGACAGACAGCAAAACACAGCTCCCCAGGCCTCTGACAGTAGACCCCAGACAGGTGAAAACTGACCCTCAAATATGTCTTCGTGGCATTCCAGGCACGAGGCCCAGGGCCCCCACCCCGGAGAAACCACAAACGCAGAAAGAAACAAATCATCAAAAAATGCCTGTCGAAGGAAGAGTCTCATAGACCCAGCAGACAGGCATCTACCTTTACCAGAGAGCTGCAGATGCACAGAGGACAAAAACTAGAAACTCATAAAAGAAACAAACATAACTAGAAATAAAAAAATAACAAAACAAAACCCCTAGTATAACCACCTGCTCTAGGTTATCACAGACTCAGAAAGGCTACTGAACCTAAGCGGTTCCAGCCGAAAATCCGGAGGGCGAGGCATACGCCTTCTGCCCTGAGGGAGAGCAGTGTACTGATGGGAATGCTTCAGCAAGGTGGCTGTGAACAGGTTTGCCAGGCACCGTTTGAAAACGGGCACCACGCAACACGAAAGCAGTAGAACCAGGAAGAAAAACATACAAATGGGGACTAATAATCTCCTCACCCAAACCTGCCAACCTCCGTTTGCCATCCAATCAAACCAATCCCAGTGGGGAGGAGTAACAGCTTCTTCAGCTTTCATCTCCGAGAGCAGATTGTTAAGATGATTAATAGACATAGAAATGTTTCCAGAGACATCTGGGAGATAGGAACAACACGACGTACCTATCACATGACAGAGACCTCCTTGAGAGGCTAATAACAGATACAAAGCTAGGTGGTGCTGGAGCAGCATATTTCTCGACGCTACTAGGAAAGGAGATAAAGCAGAAAAGCCTTCCTCAACAAAAGCAGTTAAGTTCTCCAGCCGAGTGTGCAAAGAATCCAACTTATAAGCCAGATGAACCGTACCCCACCAAGGAAAAATACCACCCACTACCTTGTCACGTGTGGAAACTAATGTAGATCTCCTTGACCTATGATTGCTATAAGAAGAATGCACAAACTGAGGATAGTGATGGGTGGTGTAAACAAGCTGATCTATCACATTGATCGCAGGAACCAGGTCAACTAATGTGCAAGTACCTGACCAATTTGGCGGAATAACTTGGAAATAATGAACACCACATAACCAGACATAATCCTGGGGACATCCTGCTCCCAGGTCATCAGGCCAGGCAAGAAGATAGGCCTGAACGGCAAAAGATGAAGAGAGTGTGTGTGATTTAATCCTAGAAGGCACACGGCGAACAATGCAGGGAGAGACGCCAAAAGGGGGCGGAGCACAGGTACTGTCAACAATTTGAAGACAGCCTACTGTCTCGCCAAGGAAAAGTCTATCAGGGCTCCGGGCTCTGTGAACACAAAAGAGATGAGACATAGAACTGAATGAGGGATGAACAGTGCCCACTGGTTCAAATAAAGAAAAGTCATCAGTGCGTAATGCACTGCTTTCTGTGGCTCTGATTGCAACACGAGACATGTGTTCACAAGGTGCTGGAAGGTCTGTTCTAGCATAAGCCCAGCCGTTGGCCCCCTTTAAGAAAGGAGGGGTCAGCACCATCAAAGCACACAAGAAATCAGTAGAGTTCAAAGGGCGAGGCCTAACAGGAAGAGACATGCTTGCATCATGTAGAAACAAAGTACAGGCATAGCAGGAAGTGTTTAAGCCAGCACTTTGCAGAATAGACCTGACCGTGTTCCACCAAAAATTTCCAGCTTGACCTTTAGACACCACACCAGCAAGAAAAGGGGGGTAATGGACAGCACCCCCAGGAAACCCAGCATCTAAGGACCTGAAAACAGGACATATCTTGGTGATAACATCTGGGACACGGACATAACCAGAAAGGTGCACAAACATCGTAGCCAGTTATGTAAGCACAAATAGTGTAAAAACCAGTGTCAGATTGAACAGCATTTGCAACGTGAAACATAATAGCTGGAGAAGTGTTGTTTACTTTCCAGATTTTGATCCTGTTCTTAATGTCAGAGACATCATCTTTAAGTGTGTATCCCCAGTCAGAGTAACCTGTTGTCCAAAGAGCCTCTGACCAGGAACTGCAGGTGGGGCACACATCAGGAACGCTGTAACAGACATACATTTCGGCCCATATCATAACAGCAATGTCCGAACAGTAAAAATAGTCACATGTGTTCAAAATGACAGTGCTAGTGGTGCCAGCTGTCACAGAGATGTTGGGCCCATGTGTACAGTCATCAATCCAGGTGGAATGAGTTTCAAAACAGGTGGGTGGGGGGCGTCTTGATTAATCAGTTCTGGAACACGCCCACAGATGAATGGGGTGAAAAAGAGCATAAGAAATAGTCTAGCAACAATGCACCCAGCCATTTTTCTAGGCTCAGGTGCAGTTTTTCACTTCAAAGGATATGTGATCAGCCGATCACAAAYCAGGAGCCGAGGTCGTAGCAGTGGCCTCGTGCTCAGATGTAGGAGTAGTACCGTCCGGCTCTACTCTGGGGGGATGCAGGACCTTCCTGCAGTGGGAGATGTGGATCCAAGTCTCTCGCTCTGCGATCTTTATGGCCGTCCGGGTAACCAGCAGAATCTGGAACGGCCCAATCCAACGCTCGGACTTCCAGGTCGCTCGTCTGAGGTTCCTCACTAGGATGTGGTCACCGGGCCTCAGGTCGTGGAGGGGGTGGTCCGCTGGAGTCGGGAGAGCAGCTTTTACCTGCGAACGAACACAGCCGAAAAGAGATGATAGTTTAGAACAATAGCTTAACATCTTATCTTCACACAGGTTTGTGAATGAGATTGCTGATGTTCCAGGGTTCAAACCCACATTTGGTGGTACCGCAAAAATGATCTCAAAAGGACTAAGATTACTTCTGCTCCTCCTCCTAGCTCTCATGTAAAACAGCATCAATGGCAAAGCTTTTGGCCAGGATAAACCTGTTTCACTGCTGCACTTTGCCAGTTTCTGTTTTATTGTGCCATTTTCTCGTTCAACTGCACCAGCACTCTGCGGGTGGTAAGCACAATGCTTCTTCAGGTCAATCCCAAATATTTACTAAGCTCAGAAATGGCTTCGTTGGCAAAGTGTCTACCGTTATCCCTTGAGATCTTTTCAGGAATTCCCCAACGGGGAATTATTTCAGATAACAAGCACCTGGCGACATCAGACGCAGTTTGTGTGGATGTTGGGAAAACCTCCACCCATTTTGAGAACATGTCAACAAAAACCAAACAATATTTTTTCCCTTCAGCTGGACTTAACTCAATGAAATCCATCATCAAATGCTCAAAGGGTCGTGAAGGTGCTGGGTGGGCTGCTTCCGTTTTACTTTTAATTGGCCTCCCTGCATTCAGCTTGGCACAAATCATGCAGGACTGACAGTATTTCTGAGCAACAGTGTTGAAACCAGGAGCAAACCAGTGAGTATTTACCATAGCGGTCATGCCACATTTTGAAGCATGATCTAAGCCATGTGACAGTTTTGCAAAATGGTTGAAAAAGTGTTTCGGCAAACAAGCTTTGGAGTCAGGCCCCACCCAAACGTCATTTTCAAAGGTACAACCTGCTTTCTTCCAGGCCTGCCTCTCCGGAGCAGTGGAGAAAGACTGCATGTCCTTCAGCGAGCAGGGCTCTGCAGTCTTATCTTCAAAGAATGTAAACACTTGTGGTCCATAAGCAGCTTTTTTAGCGGCATCGTCAGCAGCTCTGTTTCCAACTGAAACTGGGTCAGTGCTGTTCGAATGAGCAGCACATTTGCAGACTGCTATTTCTTTTGGTAAAAGGATGGCTTCCAGCAATGCAGCCACCAGTTTATGATTCAAAATTGGTGAACCATCAGATTTCAGGAACTTCCTGTGCTTCCATAGAGCACCGAAATCATGCACCACCCCAAAAGCGTACCTGCTGTCAGTGTAAATGTTTACTTTCTTGTTCTCAGCCCATCTACACGCTTCTTTTAAAGTGATTAGCTCAGCAGCTTGAGCAGACAGGTGACCTGGTAACGAGGAGGAGCAGAGTACATCAGCGTTCTCATTCACCACAGCAAACCCAACCTTATTCTCACCTGTTCCCATGTCCCGTCGTGCTGAACCGTCTACAAACAGGTGAGCCTCAGGTAGGCTCAGAGGTTTATCAGACAGGTCCGGACGAGGGTTGCAACTCAGCTCTAACTCTGCGACYCAGTCATGTGGCTGTCCTTCGTCAGACAGAGGAACTAGCGTGGCTGGATTTAGAGCTGAGCAGTGACGCACAGTGACTTTGGGGCTTTCAAGGACACACGCAAAATAATGCGTATAATGGGCCGCGCTGAGATGTGATGTTTTTTGTTCATTTAGAATTTGTTCTACAGCGTGAGGGACAAACAAGGTCAGATTTGAATGCCCCACGATGTCACGTGACGCTAAGATAGCCTTTTCAGCTGCTGCTACAGCACGCAAACATTTAGGCAGCCCGGCAGCTACTGCGTCTAGCTTAGCGCTAAAAAAACCAACAGGTCTCATCTTATCACCATGCATCTGGCTTAGCACCGAGGTCATGCAGCCAGATCTTTRGTCAACATGCTGATAAAATGGCTGTGTCATGTCTGCAATTCCCAGACACGGAGCACTCTGCAGAGCCTTTTTCAAAACCACAAAAGCATCCTCCCCTTCAGGAGACCACACAACACTTCCAGATGGCACCAGGCCGGGGGCGTGACAGATTTCTCTAAGAGGCCATTCTAACTGTGAGTAGTTAATGATGAAATGCCTACAATGGCCAACCAACCCTAGGAAAGACATCAGCTGCTTCTTTGTGACAGGACGGGGCGTGGAAGTGATGGCTGAGACACGCTGTGGAGACAGCCTCCTACCTGCAGCAGATAAGACATGCCCTAGGAACGACACCTGCGGTTTTACAAACTGCAGCTTAGAGAGACTGACCTTGTGACCCTGCTCCGCCAGATAACATAACAATGCCACAGTGTCCCTCTCACACTGTGCCTTAGAAGGAGAGGCCACCAGAAGGTAATCAATGTACTGCACAAGGGCAGATCCAGGTGGCAGCGTGAAAGATGACAGGTTTCTGCACAAAGCTTCATGAAAGATGGTGGGGGATTCCACATAACCCTGGCACAGCCGAGTGAAAGTGTAACAAGCACCTTTAAACTCAAATGCAAACCAGAACTGGCTATTTTTGTCAACAGGGATGCTGAAAATGCATTACTCAGATCGATCACACTAAAATATGTGGCCACAGCTGGTATTTGTGATAAAATAGTGTAAGGATTTGGGACCACAGCTTCTCTCGCAACAACAGCAGAGTTTACTGCCCTGAGATCCTGGACAAAGCGCCAGTCATGTGGTGGTTTTTCTCTCATTTTTTTACAGGAAAAATGGGTGTTTGTACAGGTGAGGCCTCACACTGTACAATAACACCAGCCTTTAGCAAAGATTCAAACACAGGAGTGATTCCATCAGCAGCTTCCTTTTTTAAAGGGTATTGTTTCAGTTTCAGCCTGAAATCAGATTTGGGGGTCACAATCACAGGTTCAACACCTTTTATCAAACCAACATCATATTTGCTTTTTGCCCATAACTGATCTGGGACCTGAGATAGCCAGTCATCAATGGAGCCAGACTCATTTATCGCCAGAGCGGTTAAACAGTCGACTTTGGTTACCGGCAACTGGCACACAGAAAGAAAACAGTCAAGAGAGAGCTCACACTTTGCTCTGTGAACTTTCAGAGAGGGGGAGAATTCAACTCCAGGTGTTGCTGTAGGAGCCCAATCACCGGTGCTCAGACAGCATAGCACAAACGATCCCAGCTCTTCCCACGTGTCAGATTGAGCTTTAGCCAAAGCGATGTGGGGAACTGATCCAGGAACCATAAAAAACTCACTCTGTGCATGATTCAGTTTCACAGAGACAGCACATCGTTCTGAGCCCCAAAACATAAAATCTGTGCACAGGAAATCTTCAAAAAAATCAACAAAGCTCTCAGCAAAAGGATCTTTTAAAGATGTTGTT